AGACATTTAATGGTTTAAGATGTGGCTGGCGGCGGAGAGTTTTTCATTTCACTTCTGCAGAGATCTCACACCCCAGTTCTGCGGAGTGGCTGCAAGTGCGTTAAAGCGTTCCCGGAGCCCAGAGCGGGGAGCTGGGTCGTCACGTGGTCCAGGCTGGGCAGGGCTGGCTTCTGGGCCTGTGTGTTTCATAAAGATGTTTTTAGGCATTGTCACTTTCCTTCCTGACCAGTGTAAAATGAAATGCGAGGCCCCTTACTAAACTTCTAAAAAGAATTTTACACTGAGAAAAGTAGAGTGCCCACAGCAGCAGGGTACCCGTAAAAACAACCCTGCTGCCAACTTCCGCGGCTCCGGGAAGGTGAAATGAAAATAATTAAAGCTGGACCCTGGGCAATGTCCCTGCCCAGTGCTGAGGAAGAGTTTTTCTTTTCCTTCCAGTGTGATGGGCTGTGGGGAGAGTTCCAGCTCTCTTTTGAGATCGGTAACAAAATCACTGTGACAGTGCTATTCTTTTTTCTTTTCCAGGACACTTTGGAAATTAGGAAACTGTTAGATGGCTTCCCTGTGTCTTGTATTTTTTTTTTTTTTTTGCTCACTCTCCATCTTGGAAAATGCCTTCCTTCTTTGACTTCAGTTTTATTGGTGATAGTAGAAATGAGATTCTCCTGCCTCAGCCTCTCAATTTTTTTTTTTTTTTTTTTTTTTTTTTTTTTTTTTTTTTTTGTGGGGCAAGGATGTTATAGTTTTCTTTTCCTCATTTAGAACATATACGCAGCCCTCCAGCATGAAGCCAGGATGCGTTGTTTTTGACCCTAAAAGACGGTCCCTTGGGTTGGGAAGTTCACATTTACGACCAGACCAGTGTGCTGGGTTGCTGTGGCAGCCTGGAAGTCTGTGGGGTCTCTGTTTGTTGAGGCTGCAAAGCTGAGGGTCAGAAAATGCTAATGAGCAGCCCCTGGTGTGCGGTGGGAGAGGAGAGGCAGTGTGTGACTGTTGGGGTCCCCTGAGTGAGATGGGTCCAAGACCTGCTGGCTAGTAGCCAGGTACAGTAGGAGTGTTTGTGGGAAGGATCGACCTGCTGGGCTGACTCAGAAACTCTCTGCAAACACAGAGAGATTGAAGGTTGTGTTTTTTTTTTTTTTTTTTTTGAGGTAGAGCAGATGGACAAAGAGGCAGAGATCAGATTAACTGATCGTAAATCAGGACTGAGTTGCAGAAGGAGAAAAGTCTGAGCCTGGTCACTTAAAAATTTTGAGCAAATTCAATTTATTGATTTATTTTCTTATTTGAAAAAGCAACCTTATGCTTACTGTGGAAAAAAAAGGAATGTGAAAAATTTAGAAAATAACCCTGCCAGAGAAAGGTCTGAATCCTGCACATCGCCAGAAAAGGGTCACTCTCAGGCCTTTCCAGAAACCCCTACCGATTTTGTGCACTGTGTCCCTTGCATATATCCAGACCCAGGGGCATTTGTTACTTAGCAGGAATTAAAACGTGTGCTCTGCTTTGAGTTTGATTTCAAAACTTGTGCCTCTGTCTTGAAGATTGGAAGCCAGGTGTGATTGTTTGTCACCGAAGCAGTATAAATTTTAGTAATAAAACCAGAGACAACGTGTAAATTTATGTTTGGGAAAGTTAGGGCAAGCTCAGGTGAAGGAAAACGTCCTTGGCTCCCAGGGCCTGCTTGAATTTACGACCTCAGGAAGGCCCTCCTGAGCCTGCTGGGAGAGCTGGTTGTGCCTGCTGCCGCGGCTGGTGCCCCCTAGTGGAGCAGGAAGAAGGGTTCAGGCAGCCAAAGTTCTGCCAGTTAACCCTGACCCTTTCTTTACCTGCGGGTTCACCAAGTTTGAAAACAGTGGTGCGTTGTTGCCAAGGTGACTGGGTAGTTAGGTCTACCGTGGTTGCCCCTGTGCTGAATATATATACTTTTTTTTGTTATTATTCTCTAATACAACAGTGATTTACAAAGCATTCACACTGCGTTAGGTATAAGTAATCTGAAGATGACTTAAAGTATGCCAGAGGATATGTGTGGTTTTTGTGTGAATACTACACTGTTTTCTATCAGAGGCCTAGCATCTGTGGGTTATGCTGTCCATGGGGGTCTTGGACCAACCAACCCCTTGTAGATACGGAGGGAGGACTGCATCTAACATTTTGGATTAACGGACAGCCTCTGCCTTTCGGTACTGGTACTGCCCATGGTCCAAGACGTCCTGACGCTTGAGATAGTGATCTCCCAGAGTCCCAGGCCCCAGGCCACCTATGGTTTAGCCGCCTGTTTTATGAAAGTGCTAGATGCGCATTAGTAGGGTAAAGGCGCTTGCACTGGGAAATTCCACAAGTCCTGGCATCAGCCAGGGTCGGTCCAGCTGTCACGCTGGCCAGGTGCCTTCTAGATGTCAGCAGTGTTTGTGTGCAGACCTTTTGGTGCCAGGTGTAATGATTGTTATAGTAACCACATTGAATCAAATACAAAAGTGGGTTGGGATCAAACCCTCTGCACCCTATTACGGAGAGCTCTTTCAATAGAAATTACCTGAACACCACAGCATCTCAGTGGTAATAAGTGAAAAGATGTGGTGTTAAATTACGTTAAAAGTGCAGTCTGTTGGGAAAACTTGTGAAAATTTGGGGTTTTGCATTTAGATTCTTTTAACAGTGTCTTTAAGGGGTTTTTTGTTTTTTTCCCCTCTCCTAGAGTGGGGATGGAACCCAGAGACTCAACGCATTAGAGGCCCTGGGCTGCACCCCCAGCCCTGCCTTTCTTTATGGAGTGCGAGAAAGGAAAGCTAGAAATTCTCACTAATGAGCGCTGCTGTCAGGGTGCGTGGAAGTGCTGACGGAGTAGCAGGTGCAGAGCTCTGCTCTCGCTTGGGGCGTGTGCTTGGGAGGTTAAGTACTTCTTGTCCCTCCTGAGCCTTTGTAAGGTCAGCGGGCTTTCTCTGGACACCAGTGACTGGGGAAGATGTCCTGGCGCTGCTCGCGCACGTGAGAATTTGATGGCCAGCTTGCTCACAGGCTGCCGGACCTCCTGGCCACCGCGCTGCAGTCTCTTGCTGCTCCCCGCCTCAGCGGGATGTTTTGGGTCTCCCACAAGGGGTTCCAGCCCATAGCTGTGCGTGCCCGGCACACAACCATTGCCCCCTCATGCTGCACTTTCTTCTGATCCTGCTAACCACAGTGTCTGTCACTGGGCTAATTCTGGCCTCAAATCTGCTGCAGAGGGTTTGTTGACGGCCACGCCTGGACCCCCAACTTGTGTTCATCGCTGTTTATCGCCTCTTTCCCTCGTTATGCTAGAATTTGAGTTTCACGAACCACCAGCCCTAGGAACACTTGGTATACAGTAGGCATTTGGTAAATGGGGCTTGATTGTTGAGTGAATAATCGAGCACTTTCTGGGTTGGGAGCTATTCTAGGTCCTTTTTGGGAGTGGGACAGCCCCGCCCTCCTGTGTATAGTGGACTCACTGCCACTGCTTCATGTCCCTGTGTTCGGCTGTTTGTCTCACCAGCTCCTGGGGTGGCAACCAAGGCCTGGGGCTAAATTCAGCCCTCAGTTTGTTTCTGCATGGCTTGAGAGCCTAGCAGTTTGTTTCTCTCTCTCCCTCTCTCTCTCTGTCCCCCTCCCTCCCTTTCTCCTTACTATGATTGACCCTTCAGCCTTCACCGTGAGCTACATCTGCAGCCCCTTTTTAATTTTATTACAGACAAGGTCTTCCTAAGTAACTGAATTAACCAGACTAGCCTCAAACTTGGGATCCTCCTGCCTCAGCCTCCCAGAGCACTGAGATTATAGGTGTGTTCCACAACACCTAGCTGGTCACTGCATTTTAAAATGTAAAACATACACGTACAGAAGTTGGCTAGCCCTTTGGGGAGAGCAGTTGTTAGGAGGGTAGATGATGCTGCCTCTTGGCCAGCAAAACTTGAAACATTCACTGGCTGACCTCTTGTAGGACTTACCTTTGCATCCCCTGTGGGACTGTGAGCTTTCTGAGATCCTGCAGACCATCCTCTGAGCCTCTGGGACACAATGTTTTAGAGTTGAGTGAACTCACAGGTCTACAGTCCATACCCCGAAGGCAGACGTGGGTGTGAATTCTGTGCTGACCTGTTCTCTCAGACTTGGGAGACAGTGGCGTGTCCCGAGCCTGCTTCCCCATCTGAAAACTGGAGTTGAGACTGCCATGTCCTGTGCCTGCTGCAGGATTACTCAAGGCCATGGGTGCCTGCATGTGCTTAGCACAGGATTTGTGTTTAGTGTTAGCTGTTACTGTTACTGCAGATAAACGTCCAGCAAAAATGAAATAGTCTGATCATAGTCACTTACGCCACACTGTATAATAGTTGTAAGATAAAAAGCAAACCTGTCATTGTGGGTTAGCTTCTCCTTTTTTGAAAATTAAGAGTTGATTCTTCCCCTTGGATTGGACTCTTAAATCCCTCCTCTCCCGCCTCTGTTTTGTTTGTTTGTTTTTGAGACAGGGACTCACTCTGTAGCCCAGGATGGCCTGGAAACTTGTAGTGATCCTCCTGCCTCAGCCTTCCTAGTGCTGTGACTACAGTGCTGTGACAACATGCCCGGCTCTGAGTTTTTCTTCTGATGCAAAACAGACTGTCTTAGGGTAGTGACTGTTTCTTGAGACAAAGTCTGGCTGTGTAGTCAAGGCTGGCCTCCGGCTCCCAGCTGTCTTTCCTCAGCCTCCCGAGTGCTGGGATTACAGGTGTGCACCACCACTCCCAGCACGGTGCTGGTTCGGAAAACCTAAATCCCGGTTAAGAGAGATCCTCTTTCTCGAAGGGGTGGCGCATCTCCTGCCCTGTGAAGCGGGGGTCTGGAGTGTAGAGCTGTCTCTGCTGTGGGAGGCAGAAGGTGCAGCCTTGGGCACCGGCACATCTCCCATCTGGGTGCGCCGTGCTGCGTTCCGGCTAGCGATGTACCGCGCGGAGTTGAAATGAATGAGACGGTGATGTGTTGGGCCTGTTGCTTTGCAGGGACGGTGAAGGTGAAGAGTTCCAACATCCAGGTGGGCGACCTCATCATCGTGGAGAAGGTGCGTGGCGCCTGGGGTTGTCTGTGGGCCGTGCTGCGCGAGCCGGTGTGGAGGGAGCCTCCGCCCTTTCCGGAGCCAGAGCTGCTGATTATCTAATACGCCAGTGGAGCCCTTTCACCTTGCATTTTCCGACTCAGCAGCCAGCGACTTCAGGGGGAACAGGGTGAAGCGTTAGAACAGTACAGAGGTCCCCCATGCATTTTCAGAAGGGCAGTGGTAGGGGCTGGGGATTTAGCTCAGCGGCACAGCGCCTGCCTGGCAAGTGCAAGGTCGTGAGTTCGGTTCCCGGTACCAGAAAAAGCAAACAAACAAAAACAACAACAAAGAAAAAGAAGGGCAGGGGTAATGATTGTAGCTTCAGCGGACCCTCGCCTCTCCTGTCACTCTGCACATGTAGGAGGGTGTGTGTGTGTATGCGTGGGGGGTCTTAGTATAGTATTTGATTAGGAAAGTTTCATCCCACCTTGTTTCTGTAGGAACTGAACTATTCCCTTTCACAAGGATTAACTCCAAGAACTCAGGGTGAGTTTGAGGGAAAAGGCAACGCCAGAACCACACGGTCCCCAGATGTTATTATGGGTTCTGCTCTTCAGA